TACTTATGCACAACAAAGGATTGTTCAGACAACTTTAAAGTAGCTTTTCCTCTAGTTTTTACAATAGAGCAAATGAATTCTTATTGCTATACTGATTTAAAACTGAAATAAATACTTTTTATGTCCGTATACAAGAAATAGAAGGCTAAAAAGAAAAAAAAGTCTGTTAATCGTGAATCAGATTTCTTTTTCAGCTGTCTGAACAAGTTGATTCCAGTGCAATTTGCACAGCTGGGCAGGCTGGCAGGTGGTAGGAAACATTTTGGGTAGGTGGCCTTTTACCACAGTCGGAAATAAAGTGAAGTAGATAGTAAATCTGAAAGGTGGGTTGTTTTTTTTTTTTTAACCCAAAGTTGTTAAATAAACACTATTCTAACGCATATGTATGGGGTTTTTTTGAAAATTTGAAGGTGTTTTTAATCAACTTGTAGCTTGTTTCCGTTGAATCCCTAGATAGGCTTGCGTAATAATTCAGCATAGAGCATCAGCTCAGTAATTCTATGAGCTCATTGAGAAGACATGACTTGGAAAAGAGGCACTTAAAATACACTATAATTAAGTTATGCTGAGGCATCTGAACATGCACAATAAAGTTAACTTTAAAAAATGGACAAATTTAACAAGAGAAATATCCGTATCAGGAACTCTAGAAGGAATATTCATTAGTATTTACATACATATAAGCTGTTACATAAATGTAGCAGTGCCCACTTTAAATAGCAATAACAGAGTACATGTGATTGGGGTGTCATGCTTTTAAATACTAGACGTACAAGAACAGTTCATCTGGGAAGAGATTTAATACAGAGGAAGTAATGACAGCATCTGTGAATGTTTCCTGCAGAATAGTTGAATCATTTGGAAAGAAAGATGACTGAGTATTGATGAATTATAGGAAGATCCCATCTACCTGCAAGTTAGCCATTTCAGTAAATAATGCCATGAAACCTTCACTATTAGTAGGCAAAGCTCTAAAACAGGATTCTCCCAGTATCACCGAATCCATTCGATATGGTCCTATGCCAGTTTTTCTCAGCAGTGACATGAAATAAAGTTCCAATCTGTAAAGTTGTGCTTAATTTCTATTTAGATGATATGTAAATTCACTTTACTTTAAAATTCACAGTTACAGTTTATCTGTATAAAGACTTAAATATAAGCTATATTAAAAAAAAATCATTGTAAAATCCAAATAGTACAGTTTTGCTACTAGGTATTCAAGATCATAGAATCATAGAATAGTTTGGGTTGGAAGGGACCTTTCAAGGTCATCTCATCCAGCCCCCCTGCAATGGGCAGGGACATCTTCAACTAGATCAGGTTGCTCAGAGCCCCATCCAGCCTGACCTTGAATGTTTCCAGCTCAGCTAGTGGAACTCTGTAACCTGTAACTAGAATTTGTTTAAGTGTAAAGCCAGATTTTGTACCCCTTTCTGCAGAACAAAAATTGTTTTTTCTGAATTTCACTGTAAATATATATATGCATTTCAGTTCAGTACCTAAATTATTAAAAGTTGAAAAACTGCTTGAGAATTATAACAACAGACATCATTTTTTCCTTCTACAAAGTACAGGTACAGTTCTACAAACTTAAAAGATATGGTTCATTTGAGTAGTACAGATAATACTAGCGTTGTGAATAAAATTATTCAAATCCAAGTTAGAAAGCAGGTTTCATAATTTTTTTTTTTTCTCATCTATGTGTGTCTTTGCACGATTTTACTTTTTGGTTTTTACATGCCTATATACTTTCAATTTTCAAATAATAAAATTTATCCATATATAGATTTTTAACATTCCTTAAAATGAAGCTTAATGCAAACAATGAGCAAAATCATCATCTAATAAATGCAAAATGCATCATTAATCATTTTAAACATTGAAAGTATGAATTCACTTATTTTAAGCTATGTAATTACTTACCTTGCTTAAATACACGTAGAATGGTAGAGTTATCCTCCTAGATAGGAAGGAAAAGTGCCAAATTTTTTGTAATGATGACATATAGGCAAATAGCAATGTATTTTAATGGTTAACAAACAAGAGACTTGGTCTTTCCTTGAAAATAAGAACTGTAAACTCAAAGTCAAATTAATATTATTTTTAAAAAGTTGTCTTTTTCACTGATTTAAAATTTAAATGCTGTCTTCACTAGACAAAGCATTTCTGCTAATTCTACATGTATATACATTCCAGAAAAAGTGACAAGAAAAAGCGGTATTTTACGTATGTTCTCTGGGAGATATCTTCCTTTTTTTTTTCCCAGTAGTATAGTTTAATCTTCCTATAAATAAAAATGTATACTTAGAATTTGTAAAGGGAGAAAGTTGTTAAAAACATCTGGCTATTACAATGTAGAAAGTGAGCAATTAGTTTCACTGTATGTACCAATGTCAACACCAATGAGTAACTAATATTAAACTATAAAAAGCAAAAGTCAGATTAGAATAAAAGAGCACAGTCCTTGTTAAAAGTATGTATCTTAATTTTTAATTTTTTATATTGTCTTTCTTCCTTCTCTTAATTTCTCCTGTGTTTTTCCTCTTTCTCCAAAATCTGTATGTGCTTTTTGCACACGTGTGTGTAATTTGTGTATTAATTGTGTTGAGGATTTTCATTTTGAAATGAACCTGGATATTGAGATTTTGCCTGTATTCGGAGTAAAGCATACAGTCTCTTCCTCTAACTTGTTTCTGACGTCAGAGTCAGTGCTTCAGCAGAGCAAGCAGAATTGTTCCATGGTTTAGCATTTGAGGACTGATCTGACAACCCAAATTGGCAATGGGAAGAAAATTCAATAGTGGGTTCTTGAGTGTTCCCGTATTTGCTTTTGTATTAGCTTCTGGGTATTTCATAGTCTTCCGTTATGTTCCTCATCATGCCTGATGTTTGAAAGTGGAGGGTTAGCAATACGTCCTTTCACACCCAACAACTTTACAACAGCATCAATATGTTTCTGTTTAGGGATGTTTCAATAATATCTTTAGTTTGCTAGCTGTTAAGATTTAAGTTAATTCATCGCAATAGTCACAAAAGAGAATGGTATTGAAACAATGATGATCTTCCTTCTGGGATCAGTTGGCACTCTGTAGATGCCTTCAATCATATTTTGAGATTTCAGGGCAAAAGAAAGAACCTAGTCAGACTAAGCAACTGAAGAAACTGTCTAAAAAAATTTTCATCAAGTGCATCAGAACAAGTCTAGCTTACTAAATATTCTGTATTAGTGCAATCCTTAAATAAGATACCTCTGTGCTTATATGGGACATCTTCCTGCTCAAAGATTGGATGGGTCAAAAGGTAGACTGCTGTAGGAGAATATTTCACCAAGTTTTTGTGCTCTTTTCTTATACCATTCTCCTTTTTAAATAGTCCACTCCCTCTGAGGTCAGAAAGTCATGTAGTCTGGGAATTTCACTTGAAAATTCCTTTGAGGCAGAGCTGATCCTTTGTAATTCATGTGGTTTCCATCACATTTTATCCAAAGTTCTAGGATATAAATAATCACTCTTTGTCACATGTGGCTAAGTGCATAGAGGTGAAGTTGATCCAGGTGGTGTCAAGATACTAGATTAGGTACAGCATTGGAAGAGCTGAGGGATAAGCTTAACACTGAATATTTGGAAAAAATCGCAGCTGAGATGGCAACTGCTAGAGTCTGCTGTACTGTGAGCTTAAGTCGTGTGCTCCTGTGTAGTGGGACAGGTAGCCAAACTTGGAGAGAAAAATGAAGAAGAAGGTAGGAACATGAAAGAGTCTTTCTGTAGGTTTCCAAAAGCAAACTCCAGCACATCTGTTGTATTTTACATATTCAACTTCTTATCCTCATTGATTGTGTTGAATCAGGCTGCAACATACAATGAGGTCAAATAAAATGGTGAAGGTTTTATAAAAACTAAGAGGAAAGGTAGTAAGTATTACATGTTTTAGATGAAATGATCACTAATACCTGATTTCCAAGGAGTATTTCCTAGCTGGAGTATTTGACTTCCATTTGAAGTGTATTGCCAAGGTAGGCATTTTTTCATAGCTTAGGGATAGGGAGGGAAAGTCTTATGTAAAAATAACACATGTAAACATTTTAAAGCAGGTCTGTTTCAATGTGCTGTCTCTATTTTTCTGAAAGAGGAGATATGACAATTTATGACAGAGACAATTATAGGTTGAGGTTTTTTTGTTTTGGGGTTTTTTAATTATTATTTTAAGGTTTTGATTATCAGTGCAAGCTACATTGTTACTGTCTCCTGAAATAAAATCCTAGTTTGGCTGACTTAGTTACAGATGGTATCCAGATGATTATTGGACAGGTCCTATTCTGAGAGTAAGTGAATTATAGATACAACCCTAAGTGTGATAAAGGCCTGAGGCCCAGTGAGACCTGGAATGGGACACTGGTGCAGGTAGCCTCATAACAGCAAACTTCATCAAAGCAGTTGTTAATTATTACAAAGTTGTGATCCCACAGATGCAATGCTTTTTGCCCCACATCACATATGTTCTGTCCTTCCTATTAAGATGGTAAGCTCTTTAGGCTAGAGATGGTATTTTTGCGTTGTGCGTCTTCCAGCACAATGAACCTTCAGGCACTACGAAATACAAATACCGATAAAAATTGTATTAAAAGTGCCAAGCAGTGTCCCGTCCTGTATAAAATATACTACATCGCTTAAAACTTGCCTCTGTGAATGTTCTTGTGAGTTGTGTTTGACTGCGCAAGCAATCATCTGATCAGGAAAAGAGGGGTTGATAAGCCAGTCAAAGTGTATTTGTTTTTTAATTCAGAGTACTTGAGAATGATGTATAAATGTAACTGTTTTTCTGTTATGTTCTCAGCAGTGTTTTAAACGGTTATAAATCAAATGTCAGTATGGGAAAAAGTGTCGATTGGAGTGTTAACTCGTAACAGTTCTGCACATACTTAAAAATGATAGGATAACTTCTGAAGAAAGAAGAACATTCATACATGTTTCAGTATCTGATTATTTTCAATTTTCCCGCAGATATCAATGAGTGTCAGTTACAGGGAGTATGCCCTAATGGTGAGTGCTTGAATACCATGGGCAGCTACAGATGCACCTGCAAAATGGGATTTGTGCCAGATCCTACCCTCTCAAGATGCATACGTAAGTAGTAGTGCTAATCAAAGTAGCAAAATAGATACTTAGCTGCAGTTTAGATGGGGATTTATTTGACTGACCCCAACTTTCCTAAGCTGTCCCTGTCTTTTTTGCTGTCCCTGCCTCCTCTTCTTGGCTTATTCACTTTATTTAGTCAGTCTCAGTGCTCATGCCTCTTTTCTGTCTCTTTGTCCTGGAAGCCTTGGTCTCCACCAGTGGCTGTCCAGGATCCTTGCCATCTTTTCCTGGTTTTCTTGTCACAAAACCTTCAAGTCCACATCCAGCCTCCTCATATACACAGTCTTTCTCACCAGCCTGGAGTTCTCCTTCCCGCAATATTTTTTCCCCTCTCTGCTAGTTCCCAGCCAAAATCATCTTTGTGTCCTGCCCTGCCCTATTCCTCCTCTGCAGCTTTGACCTGGGTAGTTTCCATTACTAAACAGTCGGCGCAGGATGATCTTTGGCACATTTTCCTTCTGATTAAGAAGGGTTAAAAATTAAAAAAGAATTAGGAGAAAGAAAAAGTTGTGAACAGCATGAATGCAAATATTTTCCTCTGTTAATCAGCTTTTACTTGGTTTGAGATCAACTACTGCTGCAAGAAGAAAAGAAGGCATAGAGAACAACTAGATTTCTCACTTTAAGTTTTTTGGGAAGAATATTTACAAGTGAAAAATACCTCATTTCCTAAGCTCTTTATCTGAGCTACCTTTAGATTTATAAAATGAAGTATAGTTTAGAGCTGTAGGTGAATTCTTTCATTTTTTCAGCATAATTATGTTATGCTACTAGTTAATGACACTCAATTACTGAGAAAGTTTTTCAGTATTTTGAAGAATTTCTTACCACTTTTCAGTTTAACACCAGAAAAAAGGAGTTGGTTTTCATTTTTGCTTTTACATGTCATGTTGAAAATCAGATAGTCTTTGTATTTTTTGAGTTAAGTGAACATATTACCCAGATCTGTTAACTGTATGTGAACATGAATGCGTAAATTAGAAAGCTGGATGGATCTTAGCTTCCTGTTACCTCATAGTAAGCACAGCTTATGGCCTTTGGCTCTTCCACATTAAAACTAAGTGTAACAAAATGTAGATATATAATACTCTCTTTTATAAAAAAAAGTCATGTCTGATACTTAATCCTTTTGCAGTTTTATTTATATAGCCTACTTATAACTGAATGTTCCAGTGGCTGTGTAGCTTGACACAACTGTATATTGCTAGTGATTGACCTAAGTCTTCAGCAGTTGGTCTTGTGTACATTGTGGCAGCATGGCAACTGCTGGTTTGGAATTTTTTTTCTTTAAAATACTTTTTATCCTTGGTCTAGGGTGAGTTGGAATTCAGGAGTGTTTGATGCGAAATAAGAATTTTCTTTTATGTTGTGATTATGGCTTGAGATGGGTGTTTGAAATAGAACTGGTGCAGATGGTAATATTAATCCATTTGACTGGTGTTGAAAATCTAGTGGCGTTTCTCTGTTTTGCTTTTCATGTGAACATTACCATCCTCTCTTCCACTTTTATTGCAGCTGATAATCCTATAGTTGCTGAAGAGAAAGGACCCTGCTACCGGTTTGTTAGCGCAGGAAAGCAATGCATGCATCCTCTTTCTGTTCAGCTCAGCAAGCAGCTTTGCTGCTGCAGTGTTGGCAAAGCCTGGGGCCCGCACTGTGAGAAGTGTCCACTTCCAGGAACAGGTAAGAACTGTCCATTAAAAATACAAGCTCTTGCCCCCACCCTGTGTTTGTTATGCATGCTTTAAAAAAAAAAAAAATCCAAGAATTAATTTCAAACAAGAAGTGTCCATCAGTAAATTATGACAGTTCTCTACATGATAGCAGAATAATCAAATAAATAGTAGTTTTGTTCACAGGGATTTTTGATTAAAACAAAGGAATTATCTTTGATATGTTGTGATAGAATTCCAGATTAACAATATTTGAATCTCAGAATATGTCTTTGAACTTTGATTCTCCATGACATGAAGATAAATTTATTGTACATTATATCCTGACTATAGATACAGGCAAATTGGTTAAAGGCACCGGTGAAGGGATGGCAGCTTTTGAGAATTAGGTTACAGAACTACATGTGTTGTAGTTTACGTTACAGTTAGTAGGATATGTATGGGGGTATCTCTGCTTTCTAACCTTCCTTCGTATCTTTACCATCCATTTTGAGGAACGTGCTAAGTATGGTGTTGCCTTCTTAACAATAAAAAGGTAGTTAAACATTTCATGCCAACTTTCACTTAAACAATTCCTTACTTGATACATAAACAATTCCTTACTTGATACATAAAGTTCACTTGTATTACAAGTGTTCACTTGGAATCCTGCTGTTTTTTAAATATATAAGGACTTGGAAAATAGCAGCTTGGTTGGTCACCACCCTCATTTAGGCTGCTCATAGATTAAGATAGCACATATTATAGATACTGATCACTGCTTTCGAGTACCTTCTATTCCCTGGTTTTGCCTAAAACTTAAAAATGACCGAAGTTGGAGTCATTAGTCAAAATTAATTTAATATTATTTTTTGTCCAACTGTATGATCAAATTAATCTTTTTTAAAAACATCACTGCTTATTGTAATATACATGATATACAGCCTGTTGAGTATTTCAGCACAGGTATTTGTAATGGTAATCCACTGTTCTTAGTGAAGTTGCTGCTGCAGATGTCACTGTTATGGTACAGGTCATGTATTTCTCTGGAGTATTTTCTAAAGATTCAGATTTTCAAAACTAGCTAGCTGCTTTAGCAAATCCACAGCTAGCATCAGAGACATGATGAGAGCAGCAGATCCCTTACCTTTTTAAGTTGGGTGTACAGAAATGTAAGTGACCAACATTTTTGAGCATTTCAATTGATTTTTAAAGCCATTGTTTCCTGCATGACCCAGTGGTTGCTAGGTCACTGATTAGGATTTTGAAAGCCCAGTTCACAGTCAGATAAATAATATTTCTATGGCTTTTTAATGGAGAAAAATATATTCTCATCAGATGATTCACAATTTAAATGCAGATGCTTTACATCTATGAGAATATTGCATATGACTTTATGCCCAATTGTGTGTATTCTGAAGCAGAGAATATATCTTTTTGCAAAGTTGACTGCTCTCTAGTCATAAAACATACATCGTTGAATATTATGTGGACTTGGTCATTTTAGTGATTTTTCTTAGTGAAAAGACTTCGGAGAGAAAATCTGTGAGTAGAAAATTCTGATGAGCTGTGTGGGAAACACTTTTCCCATTTCATGACAGCTTTCATGAGTTAAAAACATGTTCCTTTCTATAACTTTCTAAGGGTTAAATTCATAACCTTTCAGAGTTTTCTATGAAAAATGTGTGAAAGTGGGATACTCCAGAATGGGGTAATGTATTTACTGCAGCATCCCATGTTAATTTAAGAGTCATTGAATTCAAAAGTCATGATCTCACTCTCTGATAGCTTTTAAAATATTTATACAAAGTAGACCACCTCCAAAAGAGAGACTGAGAGAGGCCAGCTTTGTCTACCCAGGTGCTGAGAGCACTTAGCAGAGCTGTGTTAGAATAAGGCTCACATTTCTATTCTGCATTTGAGAGAATATGACCTGAAACAAGATTTCCTACATCCTGAGTATGCATCTGAAAAGACAGGCGTGAAATTTTCTCTGTCCTCCTCCTTTGACCAGAGTTCTCACCCTAAGTTGGGTGTTTTTACGGCAAGTTTTGATATCAGCATTTCCCAACAAAAAGTATTTCACTCAATTTAATCAGTTTGACCCTTTGTCTTTTCTGTTACTAAGACACCATCAGAACACAGTATGCAATTAATGCATACTGCAATTTAATGTATAATTTAATGACTTCATCTGTGGAGTACCTATAGCTAGTATGTTGTGTTTTTATTGTAGATGCTAACTCATTTTAAAACCCTGATGTGTTCAAAGCAGAATTTGTGAACTTACCAATGCCCCACTCCGCACATCTCTTAAGAAGCTGTAAGAAGTCACATTGGGCACATGGGAGACAAAATCTTTGGTGTTTCAACCCAACACAGCTTTACCTAGAGCAATGAGGACAATGAAGTACTGCCCCCTTAAGACTTCTGAAGGTCTCCCTGTCTCTGGTGGGAGCATAGCTATTATCTTTGATGGGGAGGAAGGCTGACCTGTATTTCTTTTTCATTCTAGTCTTCCACTAGGACTGCAAAACCTGATGCTCATGTAGAGCAGCTGCAGAGATCAGAGCAGGTGCTGCTGCCTGGCTTTCATTAGCTTTTTCTGTAGCAGCTTTATAAATGAGATTATTTCCCCTCTCTTCCAGAGGTGATTTGGCTTTTTATGATCCCCATCTTGTTTTTATCCAGCCCCTGAGGTCAGTGGGAAGACTTACTCAATTCAGTGGAATTTGGATCAGGGCTGGTATGAGACCTCTGATGTAGTCAAATGGTATCTTGTGAATGAATGTTGTTACTGGTTGGTATTCTTGTGCTCCGTTGTTACTGGTTGGTATTCTTGTGCTCCTCTAGTACAGGGTGGTGAGCTTTTTTCCCTTGGTTTTGGCAAAAAGAGAACGATAGAAATAGTGATCTTCATTCCTTATGCAATGCAGATGATGATGATGACAATTTGCATATTTAAATTCATATTTGGAAAGGATATACTGTTTGAAGAGGATTAATACAAAAAATTATCTTGCTAGATTAAACATAACTGAAGAAAGATGGTAAACTGGAGTGGAAACCTCCTGGGAATAACAGCCAGAACATGCTTTTGGGAGAATGCTCAGTCATATTAGCATGCAATGCAATGCTTGTCTTTAAATATTTTTTGTAAAAAATGTATATACAGTATGAGATTAAATTTATAGTGGTAGTCATTATATTTTCCACTATGTCAACATATTGCACTTTTAGACTCCTAAAAGGAATATTTTCCCATCCCAAATCTAGCTGCTTTTAAGGAAATCTGCCCTGGTGGAATGGGTTATACGGTTTCTGGCCCTCACAGAAACAAGCTATATCATCACCCTGCAGTTAGAGTACAGCCACCTGTCATTGGCAAGACCCCGATTACTCAACCTGTTGCTAAAGGTACTTCTCCTCCACCTCTCCCAGCAAAGGAGGAGCCAGTGGAGGCACTGACCTTCTCACAGAAAAGTGAGACTGACATGGCTGTACAAGAAGGTGAGAGTGGGAAAATTTAGTCTTTCTATATTTCTATGCATGTGTCTTCAATAGTATGTTTCTTTGTGGAGTAGCTGCGTACAATTCAGGACAAAGAGGCGTCACTTCCCACAGCAGAGCATTCCATGTTGTGGAGTGTATCGTGTTACAGGATTTACTTCTGAAATTTTAGGTATAGCTCCTACCAGATGCTGAGAACACCATGGAGAGAGACTGCTTTAATCTCAGTAATTTTTATGAGAAGAAACAGTAAATATTTGGCTTAAGACTTTTATAAAGATATTTATAATCTCCAACATATAACCAAGGACTCAATTCAGGCTTTGATTTACTAGTATTTGGGGTGGTAGAAGCTAAGGGGTTTTCATCATCTTCGTTCTCGACACTCCTGTAGATTGGCACCACCTGATGTGGGCATGCTTTCATGTGGTCTGCTCTCACCCCTGCAGCTGTGTACTCCCTCAGCATAACCATGTTGGATCAGCCCCTGTCTGCGGGGTGATTAACAATTAGTTGACGACTCTAAGATATTTTTGTCAGACTGTTTTCTGCACGCAAGCTCTTCTAAGAACTTGGAGCAACCAAAATTTTCCTGAGTCTAAAACAAATGCAGAAGCAAAGAATTGCAGAAAGCAGAACTATTATAAATACATTGCCAGCAATCTTGGCATGAACTAAATGTAGACATGAAGAAATGCATTGCTGAAGAACCCTCTCTTGGTATTGAGTACTTAATAGGTTATTTCCAAGCAGCAGTTATGTACCTGTATGTCAGGCCATTATTAGAAAGAGTTTCAGTCAGCTGACTTTGCAAAATTCTGTGCAGCATGGGTTACTTTCCAGTTAAAAATCACTGCTCCAGTTTTGCTTTCAAAAAGAAAATGGAGCTAAACTGAATCTGGAGAGAAAACTAAGCCATTCAATATACTTACAGACTGCTGGATTATAAAATCTCACATAAACCTCTGGGCTTTTCTGTATTAAAAAGTGGAAAAAAGTGGTGTATCATTTGCTAAAATATTACTTCAGTAATTAGAAAGATTGCCACATTCTAGTAAATCTTAAACCACAGAGAATCTGGAGGAAAAAAAATTTTTTTAAATAAAAAACTTTAAACAACATGCTTACTCTAAGTCAGTAATGACACATACGCATGTTTGAATTTCATATTCCCTTTTTGGATATGTTTGCATTTGGAATTTTTGAGATTTTATTAGAAGTACTCCTAGTTCTGATAATCAGCCTCCCTGCTACAACTGAAGAAACTAGAGCAAGAAGAGCGATTTAAAAAAAAAAATTAAAATAAATTTTAAAAGTCTATCCTGTGGAAAATGTTGATTGTGAAAAGAAAAATATTCTTACCATTTTTTACAGAAGCACACATATTTCCATCAGTAAAAGACAAATTCAAAAAAGGCAAACTGCAGTGGAAAATAAAAATTTATATGAAATGTTTACCTCTCCTTCCCAGAAGAAAGTGACTTTTGTGGAGAGAAAAAAAAAAAAACCAAACCACTTTTGCTTCCTTAAAGAAAAGGCAAATTTCAAAACTTGATTTTTTTTTTTTTTTTTTAATTCTTGCAAATTTATTAATGGTTAGTTACATACCATTATGATATTAATTTACCTTTAAAAAAAATTACAGCTGTTGATATTCCTTGGAAGGAATATAAAAAGTTTAATCAGTGAGTTAATAACATGTGACTTTCTTGGATTGTTTCTGAGGAAACAAATGAAAAACCTGTAAGGCAGCTGAATACTGAGTAAATAATTATAAGCATTGGTCAGTGTGTAGAATCTTATTCTGGTTTCAGGTTAGTTTTTACACTTGCTTCAGGAACATTACTTCAAGGTTGCACCATTTTGGAATGAGGTTAGAGTCTGAAATTTTTCTGCAATGGCAACAACCACTTTCAAATGTGCTAGTAGTTTTAAGTAGAATGTGTAAGTAAATGTTATGTGAAGACTGATTACTTTTCTTTTTTCTTTCTGGTTTTAGTGGCAACTGCAGCCCCTGATCAGGTAAAACATGATGTGATTTATCTAGGAATTAGAATGCAGACCATGTGTATGAGATGTGATACGATAACTCTGAAAAGGGTTTAGGATTTATGAGGAACAAGCAACTTACTGTGGACTTACAGTGCAAACCCTGAGTCAAAAAGAGTTCATGCTATTGTTACATACAGCAACAGGCAGGTAGTGAGGTACAGGAAAAGATTACTTTAACCTCTCTTTAGGGCATTGGTGGAGAGTCTAGTACTATATTCCCATTCTAGAGCCTGTATTTTAAAGAGGATATTGAAAAATGCAGACAGTATGGAGAGCCACAGATACTGACAGCTAGAGAAAATGAGTTGGAGAGAAACAGTATGAAGTTTTGAGAACCATTTGTGACACCTGCTTAAGAGACTTGACTTAATGCCTAATGCCTAAGTTAGTTTCCTAGGTTTTTTAGGGTGGTTGTGTATTCAGTGGAGAAGAGCAGGTGTGTATCTGTGTTAAGTCCTCCATTCTGGAGGTTCCAGGTTCTTTATGCTGAAGATAATGGGATTCATTAGGAATAACTGCAGCTGTACTTCATTTCATTTTCGTGAAGACTTACAACCATCTAACACTTTTATGAAAATAAGATGATCAGCAGAATAGCAAAGAGAACCTTTCACAGCGGTCAAAGACTTAGAGACATATGTGATTGTATCATTGTATACTTTTGTGTGATGCTGAACTGCAATTAAATACTATTCGTAAGCAATTAAAGATCAGAGGATGGGAGAACTATGGAGAAACAAAGCCAAAGATACAATTAGAAGCTCCATGAAATGGCTGCTTCAAATAAAATCAATGTTAAATTGTATGCCATTGTGTAAACATAGTATTCCATGTTCTGTCAGGCTTAAATTGGTGGTAATTAATGATCTGCTATCAAAAGCCACTTGTGAGAATGTTAGCAGTTTCTCAAGCCCGGATTTTGTGGGTTGTTATGATAGCTGAATTTAGAGAATGTTTTCAGAATGTAAATTTTTTATCATTCTTTTAGGAATTAGCTTCCCTTGATCAAGAAAAACAGCCTGATCTAGAGCCTGGGCAGCCTCAGCTTTCTCCTGGAATCTCAACAATTAACCTGCATCCACAGTTTCCAGGTAACTTGTTTCGACTTGTCTTTCAGTAGGAGAGAGTGCTTACAATTCTTCAAAGAATGGCAAGGTAGCAATTGTAACAGAGGTTAATGAAAAATTGATTGCAGCTTCGCAAGCAATTTTTCCATGAGCAGAATACAGGGGAAAAAAAAAAGTCGTGGAAGCTGAAGAGGGAGGAATTGAGAGGTTAGCATTGGCTGGGTGACTTGTTAGGAGGCAAAGATATATTTTTGATAAAAGTGATATCCTGGATTACATACATGAGGATTTTAATGTCAGTGGAGTTGAGGCTTTGTACCCTTTTCAAGAGGAAGACTTATTTAGGTGCCTCCTTGTAGATTTATGTATAACTTTTGCTGCAAAAGTTTTAGTCTTGTACTTGCTTTCTTTAGCACCTCAGCTTTTTTCACAAGCAGTAGAATGATGGAAAATGCAATTATACTATTTTTTCTGTTCCAGATCTAAGCAGAATAAACTAAGGAAAAGCTCCATAGTGTCTGGTTCATTCAGTATCATGTGTGAATTCTTTAAGGGTTGGGGGTTTTTTTGAATGCTTTAAGGGTTGGGTTTTTTTTTTGGATGTGATTGATTTCCATTCCATGTCACACAGTAGTGATTGAGAAAACATCTCCTCCTCTGCCTGTTGAAGTTGCTCCTGAAGTCTCTACTTCGAGTGCAAGTCAAGTAATTGCACCTACTCAAGTTACAGGTATTGTACTTCCTTTTTAGAACTAAAATAAACTAAGAAATGATTGAGTCCCTGACACTAAAACTTGTTGCTCCATGCTACTTCTGAATTATAACAGTGAAGAGAACATAGCTGTAGAACAGAAAGGAATAATCCGGGGAGAGATAGAAAGTACAGAACAGCACAGCAATGAGGGTACTGTCAATAGAGCTAGGACTGGACCCTCCCAGGACGTACCTGCCATTTCTGTGCCCACAAATACATGATAGAAGGAAAAATTAATAATTCCACCTCAGATTACATGATGTGCAACCGAAGTCCAGAACTGAAGACTTCTTGGCTGCAAGTCAGGTCTTTAGACGGTTCGCACATGTGTTTATGAAGTATACGTGATCATGTTCTTTGAGGGATGTAGACTTCATGGGATGTAGATCAGCATGTTCTACAAAAAGCAGATGAGGAGTTATTGTAAGATCTATTTTAAAATGTTCTTTTGATGTTTGTGCTTCTTCCTTTTTTGATGTATTAAAGTTGCCTTTTCTACATCCATGTGTCAAGAAGTGAAAATAACAGAAACGCAAGTAATGCTGCTGTCATAGCTGAAACTTGTCTAAGTGATGGCTGTGTCCAAAAGGTGTGAGAATTTCACTTGTACATTTGAAAACAAAAAAGGTGAATGTACTATGTGTGTATACATGAGAGCATTGCAAAGTCACATTGACTAGTCTCTCAGGATTAACACAGGTTTTGAAGTAGTTGCAATAGCCAGGTAAATACTTTGAGATGCAGTATTGTATATGGTAGAGAGATCTAGGCCTATGAAGAGGTTTCCCAGTTTACATTCACAGGGAGAAATTGCACATGCTTTATTAAAAGTTTAACTCTTCAAAGATGGCTTTCCTTCATGCAGGAATGGATTTTTGAGTTGCACGCAACATGCACAGGGTCTAAATCACCCAGTTGTTTGAAGTATGATTCTGTCTGCAGTTAAATCCTCCTGAATCTACTCTAAGAGTAGAGAAAGTATCCTGTCCTTCTGTAAGCATTCAGCTGCCTCCTTCAATTACCTATAGTTACAGTTCGTCAGTCCCATATGGAAGTTCTACTAATGGTGATTGTCAAACCAGAATTTGGAAGTCAGCTCTGCTGTGATTGTGCCCCTTCTGCCAGCCAGCTCCCTGCTTCCTTACAGGGAGAGGGAGTTACCCTGCTGGGAACTCACATCGGTTATTAAAAAAAATGGTAGTTTTCCATGTTCTGCTGTTTTTCTTTCTTCAGGAAAAGGAGTGGAACTAGAAGTTGCTGTGTGCTATAAACAAATAAATCAATCTGTTGTTCAGATATTTAAGAGATAGTAAAGTACAAGTGGAATAAGATTTGTAGGATGGAATCCTAGACTGTATTTAAAAAACTGAATGCAGTTAGAGTTGAGATGGTTTTGAGTGCCTTAATTCTGTACTTTAAGATTTAGTTAAATTTAAATGTAACATATTTCTAAAAAGTCTGGATAAATGATTCTTCTTTACAGACAGTAACTTTTTCAGGAATTACCATTTCATGCTGCTGTATAACCTTAGTTTAAATTGCAGCTAAACACAGTTATTAGTATTTTTTGCAGCAACACATATACTTTGAGAATTTCTAAAACTACTGTAAGGGTTTAGCATCCAGTGCTGCCCGTATCTGAATCTCTTTATCTTACAAAATACATCCAAGCCATTAACAGATGAGTGTTCTGTAAAAATAATCAGAAACCCACTATAGTTATTTTTGTAACCTTTGATGCAAATGTCAAATGGTATAAATTTTTATTTTCTATTATCTTCATTTTACTTTCTTTTTTATGTACCCATTTATAGATCTTGGATGGGACATGAGAATATGTCACTAGGAAAAGCCTATATGGTTTCTAGATTCTTCCAGAAAAAGTATCCATTACAGAAAGTCAGGACTTACAAACTTGATTTACAGTTGTTTTCAGGCCTGATCTTTCTACTTGGATTACAGAATATTGTACACTTACTGAACTACGTGGGAGAGTTTAACATTAAACTTTTTTTTTGTTTGCTTAGAAATCAACGAATGCACAGTTAATCCTGATATCTGTGGAGCAGGACACTGTGTTAATTTGCCTGTGGGATACACTTGCATCTGCTACGAGGGGTACAAACTTAACGATCAGCAGACAAAGTGCTCTGGTATGAATGGACGCTTTCAAAAATCTGAAATAACCATGCTATGAAATGCTTGAAATGTAGAGTCTGGTCAGGGGAAATATGCTACAGTGGAGTCAGGAGTTGCTTCCTCTACTGAATGCTTCCAAACTACACAGAAACTAGTTTTTGTATGTCAAAATTTGCCAGCTAGTCTCTGATTGATATAGCCTTTCAGTCGCTCATAACTGAACATGAATTTAATTAAATTGAATGAAAGCGCTTTGTGAGATAAGAGAAAAAGTGATTAGACAGACCACCTCTTCCCAGCTTTATATGCGGTATCTAAAATCATCAGACTGCTTAGGAAGAAGCAGACTTCTGTTTGGAGAAAGAATGACCAAATTAGTGCCTCTTTCTCAGAATGATTTGCCCAGCTACCAGCTCTGCAACTGGACTAAATCCAGTCATTTTGTTAGGTCTTTCCTTTCAACCTTCTGCTGAAAAGAGAAGGTATGCCATAAATATCCCAGAAGCACATTAGGAGATCTGCAAAGTGAGATCTTCATCCCCTTCAAAGCTAGTAAGTTCTGGAATGGAGGGCTCTGATGAACATGAGGCAGAGCTCAGACTGACTCTACATGAGCCGTTTCAGATTTGGAAGCAGCTGTATCGATATCTTTCCTAAATTCAGAGTATGTTGGTTCCTCTGTTACTTGGATCAGAAAGAGTTTATTATATTATGTTGCCAGATAACGTACTGTCAACTTTTCACACTACCAAAAGTTCACTAACTTCACACTGATACACACGCTATCAGGTGCAACTATGGTATTAAAAAATAATTTACACACTACACAGCCAAATGGCAACTTAAAATCCTTCTGTTTCATCCAAATTGCGTTAATGTTCCATGCCTGCAGCTTGTGCTCAACTTGCAGTGTAGTAATCTGAATAGTAATAACATGACATTCTTCAGGGCCAATGCAATATTCTTATAGTCTAAGCCAATAAGAGCATTTTTTTCCAACCAAAACTATTTAATGCATCTTTTTTGCAACTCTGAGGGAGAGGAAAACATATGCTTTTTCAAATAGTTAAAATAATTACAAGATCATTCTTTTCAAAACCATGGCATAGAATACACAAACAGAATCACAACTAAATATGTTATTCTGTAGTCTTATGGTTTTATTTCTTTTGTAGATATTAATGAATGTAATCAGGCACCCCATCTCTGTTCCCTTGGACGCTGTGAAAATACAGAAGGAAGTTTCCTATGTATTTGCCAAGCTGGATTCATGGCCAGTGAAGATGGAACTGACTGCGTTGGTAATTACTTGTCTGCTTTATAGAAAATAAAATATAAAAATGAATCAGGAAGCTTATCTAAAACCCCCTAAAGTCCCCTTTTCAGCTTTTTTCCTCAATGTCATTGGTACTGGACTTATGTCTGGAAGTGTTTTTAACTGTCTCTCACCAGGTACTGTGGTGAGGAAAATATCTGAGTAGCTCCTGCTAGTTTTCAAAATGATTATTTGTTGAAAAACAAGAATTTATTCACTATTGTGCTTGTTTAGGAAAATTACCATTTTGTAAAAACACCTTCTGTGGTGGAAAATACAAATACTCAAAACTCTTTCAATCACTAGCAGCTGTAACAAAAATATTTTTGAAATATAGCTGCAAACAGCCATGGACTTTGCAGAGCAATACAAACAGCCTGAATTGACTGTGATCTTTCTCAGGTTAGCGCTGCCTTGGGCACAATATACACACAGTGACACGCATTGTGTTTGCAACCACAGGGCGGCTCACTGGCCTTCTTACTACAGCCTGGTTCTAGATCTCAATCTCTCTGTGATTACAAGCAGTGAGGAAAAGATGGAACTGTTCAGTAAGAACACCTGTAGGGCTGTGGCTTGCAAACAGCTTGAAAATCCAAACTTACTTGCTTATGTTTAATTAAAGCAGAGTTTAGGAGAGATGAAGCGGTCAGTAATTTCATGGTGAAGCAAAGTTTCTCTTTTCTTTTTCATCTGCAGATTTTGATGAATGTTCAAGACCTCGTACTTGCGGGGACGGCTTTTGTATAAATACTGTTGGCTCATACAGATGTGAATATTGTGATAGTGGATACCAAATGAACCGGAGAGGTGAATGTGAAGGTAGGTTTGGACTCTTCACCTGTAATAATACAGTAACAGTTGCCAAGCTGAACAGCTGCAATAGGAAGAGCCATTTGTTCGCATTGACTGTTGTTTCTGATCTCAACGGAAACCTTTACATCTATTTCTTTATTTTTTAAGAAATCTGGCCATTAGATGGAAATATTAAAATAACACAGATTTTTTTCATGTTCAACTTAATATTTTTCTACCTGGCATATTTCTTTTAATGCCTTTCAATCTCCATTTGCTATTTGATTTCAGATGGAATGTCTTGGCACAGTGGTTTTATATCTATTTGTGTTCAGAGTTCCCTTCCCCCATCCCGCTCAGTGTTTATTTCCATGGGTGATTTCTCTAGCTTAGTTTTACTGGTGGATTTCTCTCACAGCTACTTTCTTCATCTAATTTGCCTTCAGATCATTTAACATCCCCATGTATGCCAGCTGAAAATGGCAGAATGTTCAAAAGGACGTTGCTTGTTTTATCTACAGTATGTCCTGGATGATGAAGTGAAGTTACCATTTATTCATATCACAAAAACAATGCCAAATGTTACCACTGTTTGGAATGATTAATATTGCCTGCTGTTCAAGGGAGGCTTAGCACTGTGGCTTGAGCTACAAAGGCAGAATTCTCAGAGGGTGCAATCTTAAACAAGAAACCTTTTTGAGCACTCTCCAATCTTTTCAGTTATTTGATGTCTGGAACTGCAATTGAATTTCTGTTTAAAAAAAAAAAAAAACCAAACCAATAATATTTCCTATATTATAACAGGTAGCAAATGATAAGTTCACTTTTTTTTAATTTGGAAATATGTTATCTAGCAGGTATTTCATGTTGCAGGAAATCTTAGGGCAGCTGACCTTTAAAACTTCACATTATTATTCAGTGTGAAAGTTTTGCCTTTTTTGCTGTTCTTTCTTCATTTTCAACTTGAATTGTGAACTAAAAATGACAAGCAGCCATTTCATTTTAAACATAGTTTTTGTTCATGCTTCAGTCAGAGTTAGTTAGGACAGAATAAAATTGGTAACATATTAGGTTGCCTAGCAAATAAGCAACTTAAAGCTGCTGTGGATATATTTGCTGCTCTGAGCATTGCTAAAGTATTCCTCTTTATATTCAGACAATTTTTTTTTTCTTTAAATAAATGTTTCACACACTCCACTCTTACAACAACTTTTTCCAAATCTTCTTTGTTGGTATGGAATCTGTGATTAAAATAGGCTAGAAATCAGAATATCACAGTGCATCAAATCTCTTACTAGCTTGGATTTTAAGTAGTGTGGTGGTGGTCCTCTGTCATTTAACTTAACAATATGTAGTTTCTGAAACCAAATTCTCTGTTGGAAGTTATTTAAGGTTGCTTAAGGGAAAAACTCTCCTACACTAAATCCATCAAACCAAGGAAGTGACACATTCAGGGAATCATTTCACCATGTCATTACACCTACACGTTGTAGTTACCCTACTGACAGGTTCCGGATTCCACAAATAACTCCTTTCCACCTCCTCCACACTTCAGAAACAAAGGCAAGAATTCTCAAAGCTGCGTGCAATACACGCAGTTCACTTACACTTCCTCACCTCATCTTCATTCTGCCTTCAAGCTATACTCACACAAGCTCTGTCGTGGGCCTAGCCTTAGAGTGCATATATGTTGTACAGTCTTAGAGGCATAGCTGAACATCATTGCATACGATTAAGTATTCCTATAAAATCTTCTTGTGATTTCTTTAAGATTTGCAGCATTTAGACTTTATTTTGACTGAAAATTTCTGTACCAAATACATCATTCATGTTCTGTGTTTTGAGGGCAGATACAGTCCAGGCAGTTCTGAGAACAGATTTCAGCAGAAGTGGGGTTTTTTTGTTAATTAAATAAAAAAAACCTCTCACAGCAGTTTCACTGAGAAACATTTCCAGGTCTGCATCGTAGCGGCTGAAGGGGCCTGTTGCCTTTTCTTACGAGAAAGTATTCTCAGCTGGACGATCATGATTCTATGAAAAATTGTGATTTGCCTACATCCAGTGAGTTGTTTGGAGCTGGGATGTTCAATTCTCTGAAGGTTGGAGCATTGTCCAGTTAAATTGCAAGTGTTGGAGGCTACATTCCTTCTGTGAGCTTGTTCCCAAAACTAGGAGTAAATTGCCTCCCTACTATCTGCGCTGGAGTAGCAGTCCTTAATTGCAGGAGACCCAACTGCTAGGCTTGGGGCAGGGAAGGGACAGGAGCTTAGGAAGCTGGGTTTAGAGGTGACTGATGATTTCATTAGTTCTTGCAATGTATGAAGCAAGTATTTGGTAGGAAATATTATAAATACTGTGTAATTAAAGACCGTATTATAAAATGATACTCAAGTATGGGAGCAGACTGGAATGGGGCTGCCCACGCAGTTTTAATTCCAGCATCTTCTGATCATTGGTCACTTGACAGCAACTTGTCTTTGAATGTCATTTTTGTATGCAGTCTCTTTTAGATTGCATATATTGCATGTATTATGGGTTTCTTTGGTGCAGCATAAGATGTTCTTGGTAGATGCTCAGAGCCTGGACGTGAGATCCATGAGTTTTTCAGGACCTGTCTCTCGTTTTGTCATGGGTAAACTAGGACCTCTCCTGATGCAGCAAGTCCCTCTATCACACTAAACACTGCCAACCTCAGTGATGTGTGTGTTGCTTGTGCCTTTCAGACATAATTAACTCCCTACTCCCTGTAAACATCTTTGATTATCATTAGCACAATTAAATTTGTAGTCCACGTAATACATGCTGCATAACTCTAGGACACTGGAGAATACCGAATTCCTCTTTGCTTTGAGAAGCCAGAGTTACAATTTTATTGTTGTTGCAATGCACTTCCAAAGTCTCTTGAGACTGACTGTAGGAAGAACCTCATGACACTTCAATATGGTAAAGGGTGATGTAAGCAAAGTTATTCTTACCTATCTAAGCCAGAAATCTGATCTGCTGTATGTTATGGAGGACCTGCCGAAGATTCACAGTATAACAGAAACCTCAGATTCAGTTGCATGTACTATGATCTAATTTATTTCTTAGAGACACCCCTTCACTGGTACAAATCTATGCGAACTTGTACCTTCCTGGGTCTCTAACAGAGAAAGTACACAACTCTTTAAATGTATTAGTATAACATGAGCACAGTCAGAATAACCAGATCAGTTTATTGCTGGGTGTTTTGTTATGACTTTGACCGGTGTTTCCTTTTATCTTCTCTTTTGAAGACATTGATGAATGCCTGACTCCAACTACTTGTCCAGATTCACAGTGCGTTAATGCTCCTGGCTCTTACCAGTGCATTCCTTGCAGAGTGGGATTCAGAGGCTGGAATGGACAGTGCCATGGTATGTTCAGTACTCTTTGTATCTCCGGTTATAGTTCTTGTTCCCAGATCCTGTATTTCCTATGCCATCAATGTTACAACCTGATGACAGCACTGTGCCCTGGGTCCCCATTTCATTCAGTAATAATTGAAAATATGAGATTTTTGAAATTACTTTATGTTCTCAGACACAGTATATATGAGGAAATAATGTTTTGCTGTAGATAAATGAACACTGAATCTAGACTGCAATCAATACGATTATATACAAAACAAAATTGAAATTTCTTGAAATAGGAAAATATGGAATTGAAAGGGATGTATTATCAGTGAAATGCTAGTAGGCCATTGTTTGGAGGTATTAACGAATGGAAAAAACATGAGAGTGCGAACAAATCAGTGTGATGGAATGGCTTTTCAATAGGATATGGAAGTCTGCTCACAAAGCATATTAATAAAATTTCTGAATTATCTATACTTCCAGCAAAACATGCAGCACATCTTAAAACAGCTTGTCTCACTTTAGTTTAGGTTTTTAGGTCATATTTCTCACATTATAGTTTTGGCAATTTGTTTTTAAATGTTAGATTCTGTCCCCCCACCTCAAATCAGTTTTGGCTACTTCTTTGGTAAGAAAGAGCAAATGAATCCATTGTGCAAAAAGAGATAATCTTTTGCAGTTTTGAGTGTTACTTCCTAGGGCACTACCAGAAACTTAAATGTGACCTCAATTGTGAAGGATCTGCTGTCTGTTGTGAATCCTCCTGTCCGCTCTGTATGTAACATATGTCCTATAATTTGTGATGGTTGGAGTAACCATGTTACCTAAACATAAGTGTATAATAACCTACATAGGAGGTATTTGCATTATTGTTGTAGGTCAGATTGGCAGTGTACTTCCACAGCTTATTTCCTAATCGCTCCCAGCTGCTGTGATTTGGTTCAGTTCATGAAGCAGTCTAGAAGCATTGTTTTGGTTTTGGTTGAAATAGCACTGGAAGGTGGGCATCTACTGTGCTCCAGCCACAAATGGGCTTTTGATGTGGAGCAAGACTAAAGCCAGGTTGCAGTGAAGCACCTGAAAAATGTATGGTATAGCTGTCAGAGTGTCACCACCAATTTTGCTGTACAGATGATACCTTTTCCAACCACCCTATTTTCTAATGAAGGCATATTGTAGCAAGTTATTTCTTTCTGAACATCTGCCTGTTACAATTTATCAGCATTCATAGCCACATTATTTGGTCTTGTCATTTGACTTACTGTGGAGGAATGTATTTCTCAGGTAATTTCATGGATTTTAACAGAGTTATAACAAGCTGTGGAATGTTTACAGCAAACTGATGTGGTTCACGTAGCACACATTCATGTTCATCTTTGTTTTGCTCCTTCCCACCTGCCTGGATTCCTGCTACCCTTGCAAAGAATGCAGCATGTGCACTCTCTTAAGAAAGGTTTCCTCTTATTTAATTCCTTATTTGGAAAATGTAAAGTTGATTTAATTATGCATTCTTTCACAGTATCAAACTTGATTTCGATACCTATTTGTGAAAATAGCCTGGTTGAAAATGGCATGGCATAACTTTTGGTTTTTTCATTCTTACTAACCAGGTTAGTAGGAGTAGAATGAGAGAAAAGAAGTCACTGCTCTGCTCAGATTTACAAACAGAACTAACTCATGTAAGGGATAAGTCTTGGTTCCAAGTTGCAGATACTTTTTTGCCTTGTATTACTGCATGTAGTTTCCCTTTTTCCTTTGTTTTATGAAATGTTCTAAGCCTAGACATCTTGCTCACATCATTAGTATGTGATCAGTCTTCATTTTCTGTTTATCTTAGACTTACATCATGTTGGAAATGAGCCATACACATTTTAGAAGATGTAATGCAGACAAAGTTTGTCTTAAATCTGTAGTTTTGCAATATGGTACAATTTAAATACACTGGAAAGGGAAATATTTCCCAAGTTATCTATGAAGGGTATTGAAGTACATTATTCCATGAATTAATTTGTTTCTGCTGTAAGTTTAGGTCAGTTGAAGCTCTGCTAGTTTTCCCCAGTGCTGTTTTCAGTAATTTTTTTTTTACCTCGTCTCATTCCTCTGCCTGTACTTGATGCCCTAGAAAGTCTAGTGTAACAATTCTACAGTTCTTTGATGCTATTGATACTGTAATCTTCCAGGATTTAAAGCCAGGAACATAGCTACTTTTGTTTAATAAAGGCAAGTCAATCGGTTCACTTCAGACTTACGTAGAATAGATTTAACTGCAGTTTAGGTGAGAATATCCAATGTGAGATCATAGAATCATCAAATAGTTTGGGTTGGAAGGGACCTTTAAAGGTCATCTAGTCCAACCCCCCTGCAATGAGCAGGGACATCTTCAACTAGATCAGGTTGCTCAGAGCCCTGTCCAACCTGACCTTGAATGCTTCCAGGGACGGGGCATCTACCACCTCCCTGGGCAACCTGTTCCAGTGTTTCACCACCCTCATTGTAAAAAATGTCTTCCTTATATCCAGTCTAAATCTACGCTCTTTTAGTTTAAAGCCATTACCCCTTGTCCTATCAGAACAGGCCCTGCTAAAAAGTTTGTCCCCATCTTTCTTATAAGCCCCCTTTAAGTACTGAAAGGCTGCAATGAGGTCTCCCCGGAGCCTTCTCTTCTCCAGGCAGAACAGCCGCAACTCTCTCAGCCTTTCTTCATAGGAAAGGCATTCTATCCCTTTGATCATTTTTGTGACCCTCCTCTGGACCCGCTCCAACAGGTCCATGTCTTTCCTGTACTGAGGGCTCCAGAGCTGGATGCAGTACTCCACGTGAGGTCTCACCAGAGCGGAGTAGAGGGGCAGAATCACCTCCCTTGACCTGCTGGCCATGCTTCTATTGATGCAGCCCAGGATACAACATGCACATTGTCGGTTCATGTCCAGCTTTTCATCCACCAGTACCCCCAAGTCCTGCTCTGCAGGGCTGCTCTCAATCCCTTCATCCCCCAGCCTGTATTGATTCTGGGGGTTGCCCTGGCCCAGATGCAGGCCCCTGCACTTGGCCTTGTTGAACCTCATGAGGTTCACACAGGCCCACCTCTCCAGCTTGTCCAGGTCTCTCTGGCTGGGATCCCATCCCTCAGGCACGCCAACCGCACCACTCAGCTTGGTGTCATCTGCAAACTTGCTGAGGGTGCACTTGATCGCACTGCCTATGTCATTGATGATGATATTAAACAGCACTGGTCCCAGTACGGACCCCTGACGGACACCACTTGTCACCAGTCTCCATCTGGACAGCAAGCCATTGACCACTACCCTCTGGATGTGCCCATCCAACCACTTCCTCATCCACCAACCCGTCCACCCATCCACTCCATATCTCTCCAATTTAGAGAGAAGGATGTCATGGGGGACCATGTCAAAGGCCTTACAGAAGTCCAGATAGATGATATCCGTAGCTCTTTCAATGCATATTAGAAGAAATTTAAAATGGCATTTTTAATTAAAAATTAAAAAAGAAATTAAAAAACCTGCACACACTGCCACCTCACTGTCTTAAAATTGCTACTGTCCCAGGTCCCTCAGTGCATTTGTGTCATACAAGGACTATTTGAAATAATGGTTTTTTTGAAGTTTACTTGCAGTCATGGGGTTTTTTCATCTTTCTCTCTCCACATTGGCACATTCAAATAAAGTGATATATCGTGATATATAATGGCAATCAAGTAGTATGTGACTCTAGAGCACACTTCTGTGTATCGATGAATAAATGAAAAAAATTAGGTTGCCAAAACTTTCTAGACTGCTTCACCCTCATGGTTAACACTGTGGTGGATTTTGCAGTTATGTTGTTAACTGACAATACTCAGCTTGTACAGCATTAGGGGACCCTATCAGAAGTTTTCAAAACTAATACAGAGGTCAGCAGAGCTGATCCGTATACCTCTAGCCCTACTGTAGTGAGCTTCAATAGAATCAGTTACAGCTCTGGACTTCATCTCAGAAGATTTAGCTTCTGTTCCCGGCTTTTCTGCTGGCTTTATGGGAAAGTCAAGAGACTGGGAAATTCAAGAGATGGGATCGTCAAGTCCCATCCAAATATCAGAAAATATTGTAGTCTTCGTTTTCAAGTAGCTTGGAGATAAGAAGATGAAAATCAATCTGTAAGAAGCAGATTTGTTATTCAGGTGGAAATTTGGATGCCTGACTGCTGAATTAGGTTCTCTGTGTTTTAAGAGATTCTTGAATTTGAGCATTGATCGTATACATTGAAAGCAAAGGTTGTGTTTTGTTAAGCGAGCACATTTTGCAACAGTAGGGGTCTGAGAAATTAGTCTTGCAGGAGGGTGTAAGTAGTATCGCCTACTGAACTGCTGTAGCAGAGCACCTCTGGATCTGTGCTGTCATCTCTTGGGTGAATGCCACTTTGTGTTCTTGGCCAGGCTGCAACAAGGGCGTCTTATTTACAGAGTTAGAGGCTCAAGTGAGGAAACAAGAATTGTAGATTATTTGAAATATGGACAATAATGGTGATTTCATTTGTGTCTGGGGAGAGATGGGCTTTGTCAAAGTTAGATTGTACAGGAGCTTGTGAAGAGCCAAGAATGATAAATATATATGAGGAAAATAATTACTGCAGATACTCGCAGTAGGTAATAAGAGCTATGATGATGATTTAAAGACCTCTAATCTTTTTCCAGCTCTCCCTGTGCTACAGCTGCCTAAATAGCTCAAGTGCCTCAAATAATCAGTAGTTTTACTCTTTTATGTTGACAGATTTTGTGTGCTTTGTGGTGGTAAAAGACGGGATAGTTGGGAGTAATATGATTTCGGGCACATAAGCAAATAAGGCATAATTCTTTTTCTGCATCAGTAAAGCTAAAAAATACAACTTTTTGTATACAAACAGGGACACCTGCTTGCTGTTAACTACATCCCCAAAATAAATAAATAAAATTTGAAAATTAACCTTTTATTTTTTTAAGTGAAAACCACTCCTAGGAAAAAGACAATATTGATTATTTTAGAATA